GAGAGGGAGGGAGGGAGGGAGGGAGGGAGGGAGGGAGGGAGGGAGGGAGAGAGAGAGGAGAGAGAGGAGAGAGAGAGGGAGAGAGAGGAGACAGGAGAGAGAGAGAGTGTGTGTGTGTGTGTATTTGTTTGTTTGTTTTGGGGGTACATGTGCCACAGTGTGTGGACCAGGTTCAGAGGGGAACATTGTAGAGTTAGTGCTCTCCTCAAAGCTTTATGTGGATTCTGGGCATGGACCTTGGGTCATTTGCAAGTTGCTAAGCCAGTTTGCTACCTCCAAACCTCGGATCTTTTATGAAATGTGACATATAGAGAGACATGGTAGAATATATAATGAAACAGAATTTTCCTGTCTGATCTTACCTTGTAAGTCAATCCATGCCTGAATACACAATTCTATATTATTACAACTCTTTGACAACTAGTCACTATAAGGTCTCAGGTTTGCAAGGGGGATATGGAGTCCCTTTGGTTAAGAGATTTATTAGGAGCGTTAGTAATGCCATACATAGGTAAACATGCAACACGGTAGTAACTCTTAGGAGACTTCAAGCTCAAAATTGAGAATCCCTCCTTTTGGGTTTCAAAAGAGAGAGGTTCCATACAGTGTGGTTGGCTGATGAGTAGACTATAGTATGTACTTGTGTGGAGATGGAGAGATTGCTCAGTGGCTAAAAGCATTTTCTGTGCTTCGAGAGAACCTAAGTTTGGTTCCCAGCTTTCATGTTTGATGCCTTATTCTGTGGTATCTGACACCCTCTTCTGCCCTCCACAGGCCCTTACTTACAGGTACAAACCAACACATACATATTCATAAATAAAAATAAAATCCTTTAAAAAATATGTGCTTGTAATCAGGTTGATTCTGATTCTTGGTCAGCCGGGCAAAGGGAGAAGGCCTGCATTTTGAGTAAGCAATGTGTGAGCTCAGAATGTGGGAAAGTAGGGAGGAGGCCAATTTAGTCAATGCATGTTTATCGTATGGGATGTGCAAGCAGTCACTCCTGAGAAACCAAAGTCTGCTGGTCTGATGCTTGCACACAGAATCAGCTGTGAGGGTGGAAAGAGAAAGAAGCTCCTGCAGATGAGTATGGTCTAAGTGGTCCTGGGCCCAAACCTAATGGTCACATAGGGTGTCTTAGTCACTATTCTGTTGCTGGGTAGAAACACCATGACCAAGACAACTCTCATAAAAGAAAACATTTAATTGGGGGGGCTTGCTTACAGTTTTAGAGGCTTAGTCCATTATCATCATGGCAAGGAGCCTGGCAGCAGGCAGGCAAGTGTGTTGCTGGAAAAGTAGCTGAGAGCTACATCCTAATCCACAGGCAGAGAGGCAGAGAAAGAGCCTGATCTGGCATGGATTTTTGAAACCTCAAAGCCCACCCTCAGTGAAAGATTTGATTACTTCTAATCTTTCTAATCCTTCTCAAACAGTCATCACTCCCTAATGACTAAGCCTTGAAATATATGAGCCAACGGGGGCCATTCTTACTCAAACCGCCACGTAGGGATTCCTAGAGGAACATGCTCAAAGACCAGATTAAACCAGAAATGTGCTCTTGTGATCATTTTTCATGTTGGGAATAAGTTACAAAAAGGAATCTAAGGCTAGAGTGATGGCTGTGCAGTTTTAAAAACGTAGTGCTCTACCAGAGAACCAGAATTCAGATCCCTGAACTCACATTGGGCTTCAAGGAATCTGAAAGTCATTTCTAACCTCTCTGGGCATCTACACACTGAATTCAAACAAACAAACAGAACCGGGTATGTTGACAAACCTATTATCCCAGAAAGATCGTAAGTTACATGCCAACCTGGATTACATATAAATATCCTATCTCAACCCCCCCCAAAGCCTTTTTTTGTATGTGGTAGGGGTAGGAGACTTTCTCTTAGTTAAATTATATAGCAAGAAAAATTTGCTATTGAAGTTACATATAATAATTTACAAATTGTTACTGACATTTTTTTATTATAGTATTTTCCGAAGAAATGAAATTACCTCTGCTAGTTTTGGCTTACTCTTTTGAGACAAGGTTAGAAAAGTACATTGTACAGTGTGTAAAGGCACTTGTGAGTGGAGTTCCATTTCCTGGAACCCACATGAAGATAGAAAGAACACTGACCCCACAACTGTCCTCTGGCCTCCACAAATATGCATGTTCCCGTTAACTTGAGCACCCTGAGCACATGCTCTTCTGAGCTACGTTTCCAGTTCTTTGTTCTTTTTTTTTTTTTTTTTTTTTGAGACAGGGTTTCTCTGTATTGTTTTGGAGGCTTGTCCTGGAACTCGCAGAGATCCGCCTGCCTCTGCCTCCTGAGTGCTGGGATTAAAGGCGTGCACCACCAACGCCCAGCTCAGCTCTTTGTTCTTAACTTGTCAGATTTACTTGGTTAGTTACTTATCAATATATTGAACAATATTTCAAAATATCCTCTCTCTGTGTGTGTTTTGTGTGCGTATGTGTTAGGTAGGCATACTTACCTGGGCACACACGTTTCAAGGTCAGAAGCTTTAGCTCTTCACCTAGTTTTTTTATGGTCTCTCCGTGAAACTGAAGCTTACAGCAAATCCCCAGGATCCACCTGTCTTTGCCTCCAGTGCTGTTATAGGTGTACATCTAGCTTTTACATGGGTGCTGAAATCTAGATTCAGGTCTTAGTGTTTATACAGCCAGCGCTTCACTCACTGAGCCATCTCCCAAGTCCTTTTTTTTTTTTTTTTGTTTTGTGAAGCATGACCTTACTCTATAGCCTAGTATTGGTTAATTCAAATGCACAGCAATCCTCCTGCCTCAGCCTTCCATATATCAGACATTATAGACATTATTGCCACACCCAACTCAAAATACTTTCTGTAGTATTATTGATTTGTAGTTAGACAGAGTTGCTTCTATTATTTTTGATATTTAGAAATTGGGGGTATTTTTTTATAACATTTAACCATACAAAATAACTTTCAGAGAAAAAGTCATAAAATAAATTAAGTTACTGGGCTTGGCGACCCCAGCAATCAGAAGGCAGATGATGCAGGTAGATCTCTGAGTTCAAGGATAGCCTGTTCTACAAAGCTAGTTCTCAAAAAATCAAAAGTTAGCTGGAGAGGTAACTCGTTGTTTGGCTCTTCCAAAGAACCTGGATTCAATTCCCAGCACACACACATTGGCTCACAACAATTGGTGACTCTAATTTCAGAGGCTCTGACTCTTTTCTAGTGTCCACAGGCCACATCAGATGTACGTGTTATACACAGACAACAGGGAACCAAAACATATACACACAAAAATTAAATTATGTATTTTTTTTTTAGACAAGGTCTCTCGATGTGCTGACTGTCCGAGAGCTTGCTATGTAGACCAGGCTGACCTCAAACTCCAGAGATTTTTACTGCCCCTGCCTCCAGAGTCCTGGAATTAAAGCCATATACCACCATACGAAACACTAAAATAATTTTTTTAAGAAACCAAATAAAATGCCCAGTGCTGGTGACTCATGCCTTTAATCCAAATATTCAGGAGGCAGAGGCCAGTCTGGTCTATAGGGTAAATTCCAGTACAGCCAGGGCTACACAGAGAAACCCTGTCTTTTACCCCCTCAAACCAAATAAATAATAAATTAGATATGTAATACAAAATGACAGTGTCTCAACCACACTTTTTTTGTGTTTTTGTTTTGTTTGTTTGTTTTTTGAGACAGGGTTTCTCTGTGGCTTTGGAGGCTGTCCTGAACTAGCTTTTATAGACCAGGCTGGTCTCGAACTCACAGAGATCCACCTGCCTCTTCCTCCCGAGTGCTGGTATTAAAGATGTGCGTCACCAACACCTGTCTCAACCACACACACACACACACACACACACACACACACACACACACACACACACGTGTTAGTTTTCTTTTTTGTTAGTGTTTTTGGTGCTGGTGCCAAGCATGTCAACCTGAGTTTAAACATTGGAAACCATATAGTAAAATTCCTTCATATTATCCTAACCTCCATAAACATATACACAGTAAATAAATAATAAATTAAAAATAGCCTATATTCATATGTTGTTAGAAGATGATAATAGAAAATATCAATTTACTTTGTCAAACCACAAAGATGTATATAAAATAAGTATGTAGGTTTATATGATTGACTGTCAACAAAGAAAATATCTTAAGCCAAAAGTGGTTATAAATGCCATGGGAAACTGACACAGGCAGATCACTGAGTTTAGGCCTTGTCTCAAAAAATGAAAAACAGACAAATACTGATAATATTTGTTATAGTTGTAGATGAGCTAACAAAAAGTACCATTAGTATACTTTTGTTTTTGTTTTACATTCACGGTGGGGTGGGGTGTCTGTATGTTGTTACTTACCTGCTCTACTATGAAGAGGTCTGGGGACAACTAATGGAGCTGATTTTCTTTTTCTGCTTTGTGAGTTCTCTAGGGATTAAACTCAGGTTGCCAAGCTTGGTGTCAAGTACATTTAACCAGTGACCCATCATCTTGCCAGATAGATCTTTTTGTTGTTGCCATGAGTTGGCTTTTAGAGACATTCTTGCTGTATAGCTAGCTCAGTTTGGCCTTGAACTCACTTAACAGTCTGGGCTCAAACTCATAGCCTCCCAAGTGTTGAGGATATAGGCATGTACCATTATGTTCCACTTAACAGTTTCTTAAAAAGATTTTCCTGAGGCTAGAGAAATGATTTAGTGTTGCAAGTGCTTGCTGCTCTTCCAGAGCACCTTAGTTTCTTTCCCAGCTTGAAACTCTTGTTCCAGGAAATCGTCTGGCTTCTGTGAGCACCTACACGAGTGTCATGCATGTTCACAAACACACATACACCCAATCCTAAAAAAATTTTATTTGCTCTGTGTGTGTGTGTGTGTGTGTGTGTGTGTTAGAGAGGAGAGAGAGAGAGCAAGAGAGAGATGCAATTTGTTGGATTATGTGAAATTAAAGTGTTATAAGATTTGTTCTCTCTGAAATCTTTTTCTTGTTCAAACTTTAGGACCCTTCAAAACTGTTTAAGAAAGCAGGTGATGCTACAGCCATGGAATGCCAATCTGAAGACAGTATTCATCTTCATTCAACAGGAGAAAATAATCCTTTGTCTAAGAAGCTTTCTCCAGTACATTCACAAGTGGCAGATTACATTAATGCAGCACCATCTCTTGTTGGCAGTCGGGACGCGGATATAAAGGACAGAGCATTACTTAATGGAGGAACTAGTGTAACAGAAAAGTTGGCACAGCTCATTGCTACCTGTCCTCCTTCCAAGTCTTCCAAGACAAAACCGAAGAAGTTAGGAACTGGCACTACAGTAGGATTGGTTAGCAAGGAGTTAATCAGGAAACCAGGTGTTGGCTCTATAGCTGGAATAATTCATAAGGACTTAATTAAAAAGCCAACTCTTAGCACAGCAGTTGGGTTGGTAACTAAAGATCCAGGGAAAAAGCCTATGTTCAATGCAGCAGTAGGACTGATTAGTAAAGACTCTGTGAAAAAATTGGGAACTGGCACTACAACGGTATTCATTAATAAAGACTTAGGCAAAAAGCCAGGGACTATCACTACAGTAGGATTGCTGAGCAAAGATTCAGGAAAGAAGCTAGGAATTGGTATTGTTCCAGGTTTAGTGAATAAAGAGTCTGGCAAGAAATTAGGACTTGGCACCGTAGTTGGACTGGTTAATAAAGAGTTGGGAAAGAAATTGAGTTCTACGGTTGGCCTAGTGACCAAGGATGTTACGAAGAAGATTGTAGCAAGTTCAGCAATGGGACTGGTTAATAAGGACATTGGAAAGAAATTAGTGAGTTGTCCTATGGCAGGACTTGGCAGTAAAGATGCCTTAAACCTTAAATCTGAAGCACTGCTCCCCACTCAGGAACAACTTAAGGCTTCTTGTGGCACAAACATCAATAACCATGAAAGTCAAGAACTTCCTGAGTCCCTGAAAGACAGTGCTACCAGCAAAGCTTTTGAGAAGAATGCTCTGCGGCATAGTAAAGAAAGCTTGCTGGAAAAGTTTTCAGTCCGAAAAGAAATTACTAGTTTGGAGAAGGAAATATATAATGAAGGAACATGCATACAGCAAGACAACTTCTCATCCAATGAAAGGGGAGCCTTTGAGAGCTCAAAGCATGAAAAGCAACCTCCTGTATATTGCACTTCTCCAGACTTTCAAATGGGAGGTGCCTCTGATGCGTCCACAGCTAAGTCTCCCTTTGGTGCAGTAGGAGAAAGCAATCTTCCTTCCCCGTCACCTACTGTATCTATTAATCCTTTAAGCAGAAGTCCCCCTGAAACTTCTCCACAGTTGGCTCCAAACCCATTGCTTTTAAATTCTACCGCAGAACAAATGGAAGACATTTCTGAGTCTGTTGGGAAGAACCAGTTTTCAGCTGAAAGTACTCACTTGAATGTTGGTCATAGATTATTAAATCATAGCATAAGTATTGACTGTAAAGGAATTGATAAAGAAATCAATGAATCAAAAAATACACATCTAGATATTGCTAGAATAAGTTCTTCCTTGGGTAAAAAGCCAAGTTTGGCTTCTGACTCTGCTATTCATACCATTACTCCTTCAGTTGTTAACTTTACTAGTTTATTTAGTAACAAACCTTTTTTAAAACTTGGTGCAGTAACTGCATCAGACAAACACTGCCAAGTTGCTGAAAGCCTAAGCACTAGTTTCCAGTCCAAGCCATTAAAAAAAAGAAAAGGAAGAAAATCTCGGTGGACTAAAGTGGTGGCAAGAAGCACATGCCGGTCTCCAAAAGGACTAGAATTAGAAAGATCTGAACTTTTTAAAAATGTTTCATGTAGCTCATTATCAAATAGTTCTGAGCCAGCTAAGTTTATGAAAAATATTGGAGCATCGTCTTTTGTCGATCATGACTTCCTTAAACGCCGATTGCCAAAGTTGAGTAAGTCTACAGCTCCATCTCTTGCTCTCTTAACTGACAGTGAAAAACCATCTCATAAATCTTTTATTGCTCACAAACTGTCCTCCAGTATGTGTGTCACTAGTGATCTTTTGTCGGATATTTATAAGCCCAAACGAGGAAGACCTAAATCCAAGGAAATGCCTCAGCTAGAAGGTCCACCTAAAAGGACTTTAAAAATACCTGCCTCTAAAGTTTTTTCTTTACAGTCTAAAGAAGAACAAGAACCCCCAATTTTACAGCCGGAAATTGAAATTCCTTCTTTCAAACAAAGTTTGTCTGTATCTCCTTTTCCGAAAAAGAGAGGCAGGCCTAAGAGGCAGATGAGATCTCCGGTGAAGATGAAGCCACCTGTACTGTCAGTGGCTCCATTTGTTGCCACTGAAAGTCCCAGTAAGCTAGAGTCTGAAAGTGAAAACCATAGGAGTAGCAGTGATTTCTTTGAGAGTGAGGAGCAGCTTCAGGACACAGATGACTTAGAAGATAGTCATAGGCAAAGTGTCTGTAGTATGAGTGACCTTGAGATGGAACCAGAAAAAAAAATTAGCAAGCGAAACAATGGACAATTAATGAAAACAATTATCCGAAAAATAAATAAAATGAAGACTTTAAAGAGAAAAAAACTGTTGAATCAGATTCTTTCAAGTTCTGTAGAATCCAGTAATAAAGGAAAAGTACAATCTAAACTTCATAATACAGTATCAAGTCTTGCTGCCACATTTGGCTCTAAATTGGGCCAACAAATAAATGTCAGCAAGAAAGGAACCATTTATATAGGGAAGAGAAGGGGCCGAAAACCAAAAACTGTCTTAAATGGCCTTCTTTCTGGTAGCCCTGCCACCCTTGCTGTGCTTGAACAAACAGCCCAGCAGGCGGCTGGGTCAGCTCTAGGACAGATCCTTCCCCCTTTACTGCCTTCACCTGCTGGGAGCTCTGAGATCCTCCCATCACCTATTTGCTCTCAGTCTTCTGGGACTAGTGGAGGTCAGAGCCCTGTTAGTAGTGATGCAGGCTTTGTTGAGCCTAGCTCAGTGCCATATTTGCATATGCACTCCAGACAGGGCAGTATGATTCAGACTCTTGCAATGAAGAAAGCTTCCAAGGGGAGGAGGCGATTATCTCCTCCTACTTTGTTGCCAAATTCTCCTTCTCATTTGAGTGAACTCACATCCTTGAAAGAAGCTACTCCTTCCCCAATTAGTGAGTCTCATAGTGATGAGACCATTCCCAGTGATAGTGGCATTGGGACAGATAATAACAGCACATCAGACAGGGCAGAGAAGTTTTGTGGACAGAAAAAGAGGAGACATTCTTTTGAACACATTTCTCTGATTCCCCCTGAAACCTCTACTGTCCTAAACAGTCTTAAGGAAAAGCATAAACACAAATGTAAGCGCAGGAGTCACGATTACCTCAGCTATGACAAGATGAAAAGACAAAAGCGAAAACGAAAAAAGAAATATCCCCAACTTCGAAATAGGCAAGATCCAGACTTCATGGCAGAGCTAGAGGAGCTAATAAGTCGTCTAAGTGAAATTCGGATCACTCATCGAAGTCATCATTTTATTCCCCGAGACCTCCTGCCAACTATTTTTCGAATCAACTTTAATAGTTTCTATACGCATCCTTCTTTTCCCTTAGACCCTTTGCACTACATTAGGAAGCCTGATTTAAAAAAGAAAAGAGGGAGGCCCCCTAAGATGAGAGAGGCAATGGCAGAAATGCCTTTTATGCACAGCCTTAGTTTTCCTCTGTCTAGTACTGGATTTTACCCTTCTTATGGCATGCCTTATTCTCCTTCACCCCTTACAGCTGCTCCAATAGGGTTAGGTTATTATGGAAGGTATCCCCCCACTCTTTATCCACCGCCTCCATCTCCTTCATTCACCACTCCACTGCCGCCTCCTTCCTATATGCATGCTGGTCATTTATTGCTCAATCCTACCAAATATCATAAGAAAAAGCATAAGCTCCTTAGACAGGAGGCTTTTCTTACAACCAGCAGGGCTCCTCTCCTTTCCATGAGCACCTACCCCAGCGTACCTCCCGAGATGGCTTATGGTTGGATGGTGGAGCACAAACACAGACATCGTCACAAACACAGAGAACACCGTTCTGAACAGCCCCAGGTTTCCATGGACACTGGCTCTTCCAGATCTGTCTTGGAATCTTTGAAACGTTACCGATTTGGAAAGGATGCTGTTGGAGAGCGATACAAGCATAAGGAAAAGCACAGATGTCACATGTCTTGCCCTCATCTGTCTCCCTCAAAGAGCTTAATAAACAGAGAAGAACAGTGGGTTTCTCGAGAGCCTTCAGAATCAAGTTCTTTAGCCTTGGGATTGCAAACACCTTTACAAATTGACTGCTCAGAAAGTTCCCCAAGTTTGTCCCTTGGAGGATTTACTCCCAATTCTGAGCCAGCCAGCAGTGATGAACATATGAACCTTTTTACAAGTGCAATAGGCAGCTGCAGAGTTTCAAACCCTAACTCCAGTTGCCGGAAGAAATTAACTGACAGCCCTGGACTCTACCCTGTACAAGATACTGCACTAAATCGGCCTCACAGAAAGGAGCCCCTGCCTTCCAGTGAAAGGGCAATACAGACATTGCCAGGTAAGAGGATTATTTTGTTGTCTGTTATTTGTGTTACAGTAATAAATTATTTTCTCACTGGTTTCTGGATTCATGTACTTGATCTTTTTATTAAGTTTGTGCTTTGTTTTTGTTTTTATAAGTATATTTTGAAATCTCCAAAGTTTTGTTTTCCTTATATGTAATAAGTAAGGAATATCTTTGTACTATGATTTATTTATTTGTTTGTTTATTGACAAACATTAAAAAAAGAACTTTGGAAACCAGGAAAAATGCTCTGATTTTTGCATAAAAGCTTATGTTTCATTCCTTCATCTAGAAATGACTCAGACACTTGTTAGCAGTAGGTAGTACTTATTGTATGCTAGTTAAGTAGTCATAAATGCTTCTATGTTACACAAAATTCCCATGTCTGAATAAAAATTTAACCTTTGAAAACTTTCAGAACCAAGAATTGACTCAGTATTCAGAGAGGTTTTATGTTCTATATTACTGTTAGGTATCTTCATCAAAGTTATTTCATTCAGATATAAAAGGACATGGAACATAGCTAAATCATTCATTGTAGCTCTTAAAGAAATGTTTTTTGAGACTAGAAAAGGTGGAAATGAAACTGAAATCATTGCTTATGCAAATAAAGGATACCATAACTTAAAAATTACTGTGATCTTTTTTTAAAAAGATTTATTTGTTCATTATTTTATATATATGAGTGCTCTATTTCAATGTATACCTGCAGGCCAGAAGAGGACACCAGATTTTATTACAGATGATTGTGAGTCACCGTGTAGGTGCTGGGAATTGAACTCAGGTCCTCTGGAAGAGCAACTAGTGTTCTTATCCTCTTAACCATCTCTGTAGCCCCCTACTATGATCTTTAAAGGGTTTGTAAATGAACTGTAAAGTCTTGATGCTGTGAGTAAATTTTATACCTGTGTATTTGTGTCTGATTTTTCTAAAGATAACTTGGGCAGGAACATTAGAGCTGAGTGCCTCTGAGTGCTCACCATAGTGAGCAAAGCAAAGGGTCTTTAATTTCTATTCTCATTCCTTTAAAAGGGTAAAAATTTGTGTATAAAAAAAACAAATCAAAACCCAGAAACAAGTGGGGTTTTTTTCTAATTTTCTTTATTCACAGACTTTGAAAATCCAATCTGTCATAATGGAAAAGACAATTTTACTTCTTTTGGTTTTTTCGAGACAGGGTTTCTCTATGGCTTTGGAGGCTGTCCTGGAACTAGCTCTTGTAGACCAGGCTGGCCTCGAACTCACAGAGATCCGCCTGCCTCTGCCTCCCGAGTGCTAGGATTAAAGGCTCAGCACTAAAGACTTCTATAGCTACTCTTGCAGATGGCCCAGGATTGATTTAGAGCCCTTACGTAGCAACTCAGCCTGTAGCTCCAGCTCCAGGGGATCTTTACACCCTCCTCTCTCCTCTCCTCTCCTCTCCTCTCCTCTCCTCTCCTCTCCTCTCCTCTCCTCTCCTCTCCTCTCCTCTCCTCTCCTCTCCTCTCCTCTCCTCTCCTCTCCTCTCCCTCCCCTCCCCTCCCTCCCCTCCCCTCCCCTCCCCTCCCCTCCCCTCCCTCCCCTCCCCTCCCCTCCCCTCCCCTCCCCTCTTCTCCTCTCTTCTCTTCTCCATAGGCACGAGGCATGCAAGTGGTACACAGACATACTCAAATACTTAAAAATAAAATTTTATTTTTGTTCTGTTTCGAGGCAGGGTTTCTATGTAGCTTTGGCTGTTGTAAAACTGTGTAGACCAGTCTGGCTTTAAACTCAGAGAGTACTCACTTTCTCTGCCTCCCTAGTGCTGGGATCAAAGTCATGTGCCATCACCACACCCTCACTAAAATATTTCTTTGTATGTTTGTTTGTTTATATTTTTGAGGTTGGGTCTCACTATGTAGCGCTGGCTGTCCTGGAACTCGGAGAACCCACCTTCCTCTAGTGAGGGCTGGGAATAACGGTGCTCAACCACCACACCTGGCTCAGGAATATTTTTGTCTCTTTGTTTTTAATTTCTTATTAGGTTCCCTACATTTACACCTCATCCAGTATTTCTGTTCTAATGCAGAGGAAAATACTTCTGTAACCAGTTTTATTTGGCAGATTACTTTTTTTACTAATATTTAACCAATGCTAGTTTTTTTTTGGTGGGGGTTGTTTGTTTGTTTTTGTTTTTTCTGAAGTAGTCCTGGCTGTTCCAGAACCTTCTCTCTAGACCAGGCTGGCCTAGAATTCAGAAATCCACCTGTCTCTGCCACCCAAGTGCTGGTATTAAAGGCATGTGCCACCACTGCCTGGCTACCAATGCTAGTTTTTGAATAGCAAATATTTGCTGGGTGTTGTACTTTTGGAGCCCTTGTTTATAATAGGAATTGGGATACACAGTTTATTTTTCTGTGCAAGAGAATGATAATAACAAAAATTGTATTACGTTTCCTTATTGTGAAGTTGGGTATAGTAGTTCATGTCTATAATCCTAGTACATGGGAAACAGAAGCAGGGAGATTAGAAGTTAAAGGCTAGCCTAGTCTATATAACAAATTCCAGGCCAGGCAGGGCTTTATGGTATGAGCCTATCTCCAAAGAACAAGAAAAGAGAAAGTTTCATTTTTTTTGTGATAAAATGTATAAAAGAGGGACTATAGTATGGATTATATAAAGTGAAGGGCATAATTCAGAGAATGACTTCCTCAGAAAAAGACCTAAAATAAAATAGGACACTTAGCATGAGCAACAGTTAGCTGGGGAAGCAGAATCCTGTACTTTTATTTACTCATTAATTTTTTCATTCACTTATTGAATTTCAAAACATTAGCACTGTTCTAGTTATTGACATGTAATAGTGAACGAAGATCTGATGTCTGGCTGCTTTTTTTTTCCATGTAGTGAAGGAAGTCAGATGGTAGAGGGGTAAGTAAATACATAATGCCATAATTGAGAGTGTAGTGTTGTTTGTATTGCAGAATAACTAGAGGGAGAATAAGTGGTGAGAGAGAGTTACTTACCTACACAGTTAACACAACTTAAGGATAAGAAAGTTGGGATGAGAAAAGTAGGGTGAAAAGCATATTTTAAACACCCTGAACTGGAAAGAAACTCTAAACTGCTGAGCCATTTCTCCAGCCCCAAGAGTAAGACTTAGTGTTCTGAAGGAGAAAAAGGGAGGAGACAATGTCTTTGGGACATATAGTTGAATCGTACTGAGACTAAGTTAAAATACCTGTTACACAGAGGAGACAGATAGGAAGAAGATCTAAGGAAATTGGAGAGATGGCTCAGTGGTTAACACCACTTGCGGCTTTTGTGGAGGACCTGGATTTGGTTTCCAGCACCCACACATTAACACATAGCTGTGATTTACCCTTCTTGCTCTCTTATAAGACATACAGATTTATATCTCAAAAGAGAAGTTAAGATAGATGTAGTGGCATTTACCTTTAGTCCCAAACACAGGAGTCTAAGGTTTAAGACCAGCCTAGCATATGCATATATATTGAGGCAGAGGGCAAAGATACAACTCTGTTGTCTCCTACAGCAACCTCAGTAGTTGTTTTTATGAAAAAATTTTTAAGGCCTGTTTTATTTCTTAATGTTTTTAAAGACAGGATTTACACCTTACCACCTCCCTCCATCCTATGAGATTTTAATAGGTGGGTGACTGTGGAGTTGTCTTGGATGGGGGTCCAAGCCTGTAGAGTGTAGTCTTCCCACCAGCCTGGTTCCAGAGCAGCATCAGTCCCAAATGAACACACAGGAGCTATATTAATTATTAAGCCGTTGGCCATTTGCTTGGTTTCTTACTGACTAGCTCTGACTTAAGTATTTACCCCATAATTGTTAATCTAGGTATTTCTCTTACTGGAGAAAGGGGTCCAGACTTCTTATACCTCTGGCGGGCTACATTGTCTCTGACTCTGCCTCTCTTTCCCAGAATCCTCCTTGACTCCTAGTCCCACCTATCTTGCTTCCCTATTGGCCAACAGTGCTTTATTCAACAACCAATAAGAGACAGATTTGCAGAATGGCATCTCCCATCACAAGCCCATAAGGTAAAACCTTATATATAGGTCACAAGGATTTCATAAAGTGATTAAGACATCTTTTATTATAAGTGGAATTTCTTCTGAGATTTCTAAAAAATTGCAGGCTTGTAAGCTGAGAAAAGAAGAAGGCCTTACACATGATTTATTACTGTCTTGACACTTATTTGAATATACATATGTAAAAGAAATATAGTCTCCATTGCAAATCTGTTCAATGGAAGCGCTTCTTTCCTTTTCCATGTTGTAAGGATTCAGGCATTATGCTGGCCTGCCCCTGTCACCTGGCAGAATGCATTAGGCAGTACCCTGGTCAGCCCAGGGTCCATGACTACTAGTTTGCATACAGGTGCAAATGACCCCTTTAAAATAAAGACCTCTGCAGATGTACCTCTCTTCTTTCCCGCTGTTCCCGACTCCTCCGTCTCTTCTGACTTCTCTGTCTCTCCACCTCTTTCTCTTTTCTCACGCCCCCTTCCCTTTCTCACTAAGCTCTGTCTGCCTGGCATGTTTGTCTCCCGCATCGGTCACCCTCACCTCCCATGGAAACCGCCCTCCATCTTTATCGTAACAACTGCCCCCTTAATTATCTGCCTTTCTATCTTGATGGGGGATGTCCTTCTGTATATGTTTCTGTTATTGGTTGATGAATAAAACACTGTCTGGCCAGTGAGGTGGGAAGATAGGTGGGACTAGGATGAGGACAATTCAGGGAAAGGTAGGCAGAGAGAGTGTCTCCCCACCCCACCAGAGCAGTCGCCATGTGAGCTGCCAAAGGAATTAGAGGTTCAAACCCTTTTCGTAAGATAAGACCACGTGGAAATACTTAGATTAATAGAAATGTGTTAATAATTAAGACAGAGCTAGCCAATAAGAAGCCCTAACCACCAGCCAACAGTTTAACTAATATAGTGTCTCTGTGTTTGTTTGGGACTCAAACGGCTGCAAGAACCTCCGTTACACACTGTTCTGTCT